GGCAATCCCGAATGCCTATTCGGCTCGATTTGTCTTCTCTCTTGTAAAATGCATCGGATTCACGGACGCGCGGAAATTAGCATCGAATGGTTTGCCTTGTAATTTGCCATGGTAATAAGCCGATTTCCATGAGTGTGCAAGCGGAGCTGGTTACGCCAAGTAACTATAGAATAAATACAAATAAGAATGGCAAATAGCCGGGGAATTCGGACTGACGCAATTTTGCACAAAAGCTCCTTAGCGTGGAATTCAGTTTGTCCAATCTATAGTGAGGAGAGAAGTAAAAAGATAAAAAAGAAAGCATAAAGATACAGAAGAAGAAGAAGAAAAAGAAGTGCAACGGATGTAGGGGTTGGGGGTTGCTCTATCGAAATGCTCCAACCAAACGAATAATATCCTTTATTAATAGGTTTTTTCTTTCTTTTTTCTTTTTTCTTTTTTTTTTGTTTTTTTTCTTTTTTTCTTTTTTTCTTTTTTTCTTTTTTTCTTTTTTTCTTTTTTTCTTTTTTCTTAAACGAACGGCTTTAAAGTGATTTCATCATTTACATTAATATTCATTGCTATACTTATATTAATGACAACCGAAAAACAACAACCGACCGTAATGTCGATAAAAATTAATAATCTTTCCTATTATAATTCATGATCAACGTATTAATATGAAAAACTTCTAAATACAGCTTCATAATTTTTTGTATTAATTGTGTAAAGAATTTTTTTACTAAAAGAATTTTCTATTACGTTGAAATATATTTGAGACTTAGTATGAAGAGGCCACTGGATCCGACGCGTAATCAATCGTATTATTTACTAAAAACGACGTCTGCTGAGAGATATTTGACAATTTGAAAGAAAATTCGATCGATTGCTAAGCCAAGTCGAGTTATTTGCAATTGGATAATTTCTATTTATAAATTATCTATGAATAACACTGGCTTAAAAAAGCATTACAAACTAATATTATTACTATTAGCCTTGGCACTTTTATTTTTGTTTTTTAAACATTATCCGCGAGACTCTTCATCGTTGCCCTTAAATCAAGCCTGAATTTTTGTTTTGTTTTTAAAAATAATCCTTGATAAAAATACGCTTTAAAATCGAAGTAATAAAATGGCCAGTTTTATTTAATCTGATGCGATGGATCCTATTACCGTGGTATATCAGATTTTCGTCTTTTTTTTCTCTCGACTAAATTTTAATCTTTTAATCGCAATTATCATACAACGCATTCTTCAAAATGTATATAGAATGCGACATTCCTTTCATGGGATTAGCGTTAGTAGGTTTGGAGAGAAATTTTCTGAAAATTGTCTTTAGTTGATCGCTCGGATTCGCTGTAAAGCGCTAAGCAGTCCCGGCCGGGGAAAAGGCAAGATGTACGTGGGAGAGGTGTAAGGGAGAGAAAGAAGGAGAAGGGCAAACGTATCCAGCCAATAATAGACGCAGTCTTCGTCTTTCTTTGCCACTCAAGCTCGGAGTTAGCTGCGCGCGCATCTGTTCAATACGAGGAATGTTTCTCATCCCCTTCCATCTTTGCACAGTTGCCATTGCCCAAATTATTCTACTTTATTCCCAAGGTTATTTCAACTCATTGTCTCATTTATATAGATTGTACAGAGATGGTAAAATTTCATTTTATACGTTTTAGCTACAGGAATGTACCCATTATGGCAATCGTAATATTAACTTGTCTGAATTCTCGAGAAATAATTAAGTAAGACAAGCATTTTACTGTTTGATTAACATAATATTGCTGCAAATATTAAGATTGTTCGTTAATTAAATTGAAAAGAAAAAAAAACAAAAGAAAAGAAAAACTAAGCATTAAAAATGTAAACATATTATAAACATATTTATATTTATTTATTTTGTTTTTGTTTGTCTTTTTGTAGACGGTTAATTTCGAAATTATTTGATAAGAAACTCTTCGCTCTTATTTTCTTTTTTAATTACGAATGGAATTTAAAGTGTTTACTTTATGTGGAAATAGGGTAAGCTATCTTACAAACGTATTGTTTTATTTATTTATTAATTTTTTAAATTTTTTTATCGATCTTAGAATATCTTCAAATCTTAATGAAACTTCAATGAAAAAAAATTTCATTTAATGTTAGTTTGTTGATATGAACAATACTATATAATTTTTACTATATAATACTTATTTCTGCTATCGGGTGGGGGAGGGGGGGGGGAAATCCCTAGTAATTGTATTGATATTGTAAGTAATTGATTAATTACTTCAAGCAGACAATAATTACACAAACATCTTCTATATTTATATCTGATGAGCGACACGTGTACAAGTCATGGCGGCTATATTCAAATTAATTTTTATCTTTACAATTATTCAGCTCGTTGTAAAGTTACAAGTTACTTAATAATTATTTCATTATATGAATTTTAATGTTTAAGAATCGTTGAATTTAAGAGAATTAAGAGAATTCGAAGTAAATGTTAAAACGAATAAGAAGTATAAGAAAAAAAAAAATTAACGTTTGCTAAGAAAAAGTATATAGTACAACACTTGTGTAGTATTATCATAGTATATTAATGCAAAGCGTGATTTTAGTATTATGAATCTTCTTATGTGCATTCATTAAAAAATGTTAAACATTATAAAGTATGTTAAGCCAGTGGAATTATTAAACTTATGAAATTGAATATACATAGAATGAAGCGTATGATAAAAATGTAAAAAGCGTGCATTAATATCCATACGAATTTTTCTTATTATGCGGATAGTATTCACTATTTCAACAATTTATCGTCAACCCTCGTTCCAGCCTTTAACGCACCGTCGCATTTCTCTCCATCCGCATGCCCATGTAGCTAGCACGTCGTCGTCGTCGTACTCCTCTTCCTCCTCCTCCTCCTCCTCCTCGTGGACCATCCCATTGCCGAAGCGACATAGTCGTTTCTAGAGAATGCATCTCATCAACCCCGCCTTCGCGGAAACTTTCCACCTGGTCACCTCTCACGAGCATCAAAATTCGCCCCCCCCCCTCTCTTTCTCCCTCGCTCTGACGCGCGCGCACATACGCCCACCCACCCACCCACTTCCCTGTTTCGCATTCCCTCTCTTTCCACACCCGACCCGATGAAACCCGTACCCTAGGAAATTCGTGCACGTACCATCGTCACGGTACTGCCGTACTCACAAGAAAAGCGCCGCGTCCTACGAACGACGACGGCTTTATTTCGGATAACTGGCGAAAATGTTGAAATAACTTCTTTTAACAAAGAAATGGACATTTACTCGAAAGTAATTTTTTCTTCTCTTTTATTTTTTTCAAATAATTTTTTTAACAAAATCAATCCTACTCATATGTTCCCGTCTATATAGTTTGCATTAATTTTGTTAAAAGTATCTACAATTACAAGAGCCAGGATAGCTTTAATATGCAATTTTCTATATGAATAATACGATGTTTTCATTCATTAATTTATAATTAAAGTTCTCTGTCACACATTCATTAGATACTTCAATATTTTGTACACATTGTTTTTTATTGGAGAAACTTAATTCACCCGAGCAATATTAAGCAAAAGATAAATGAAAATAATAACAATAACAATAATGACAATATACTTATACAATGAATAAAAATTTATTATATATATCTTCGAATATTGGTATTATGAAATTTAATTTGCGAGAAAGTTTTCAGCATTTTGCAGTTCGCTTAATCGTCCGTTTAATTATAAGATTTCGTTGTGGCCGAGAATTTACTCTTTCGACAAATTTTTTAGTATATTTTCTAGCATGTACAAGGAAAGTTTTATCTAATAATACGAAAAGCTACTTATTCGTTGGTTTTTAATCGATCAAGTTTGAAAAAGAAACACTTTATTCAATCACGTAATGTCAGGCTCGAGCGAGCACATATCAGTTAGGCTCTCGTCCAACTCGGTAACAATCAGCACGTGACAATCTCTATCTCTGTCTCTATCTCTGTCTGTCTGTCTGTCTGTCTGTCTGTCTGTCTGTCTGTCTGTCTGTCTGTCTGTCTGTCTGTCTGTCTGTCTGTCTGTCTGTCTGTCTGTCTGTCTGTCTGTCTGTCTGTCTGTCTGTCTGTCTGTCTGTCTGTCTGTCTGTCTGTCTGTCTGTCTGTCTGTCTGTCTGTCTGTCTGTCTGTCTGTCTGTCTGTCTGTCTGTCTGTCTGTCTGTCTGTCTGTCTGTCTGTCTGTCTGTCTGTCTGTCTGTCTGTCTGTCTGTCTGTCTGTCTGTCTGTCTGTCTGTCTGTCTGTCTGTCTGTCTGTCTGTCTGTCTGTCTGTCTGTCTGTCTGTCTGTCTGTCTGTCTGTCTGTCTGTCTGTCTGTCTGTCTGTCTGTCTGTCTGTCTGTCTGTCTGTCTGTCTGTCTGTCTGTCTGTCTGTCTGTCTGTCTGTCTGTCTGTCTGTCTGTCTGTCTGTCTGTCTGTCTGTCTGTCTGTCTGTCTGTCTGTCTGTCTGTCTGTCTGTCTGTCTGTCTGTCTGTCTGTCTGTCTGTCTGTCTGTCTGTCTGTCTCTCTCTCTCTCTCTCTCTCCTCCTCCTCCTCCTGGAAGTTTAACTTTGATAATGGATTTATAGGCGAGACAAGTCTCGCCATCCTTATAAGCTCGCGAAGGAGGGGAAACTGCCGGATTTCCTCAATATTGGAATGAGTAAAGCAACGTATCACCATAGGATTAAAACTTTGCTCGTCTTTAGCTAATCTTAAAAAATGATGGTCCTGCTTGTCTGTTCAGCTCTGCTGTCAAGGGTAAATGGCAGCACAGCGCAGTCCAACTCGTTCCGCATACCAAGTTCGACTGCATAACTACAGACTGCCGTGACATGGAAGGAAGGGTAATTACCTTTCTGCTTCTTCCTCCTCCTTCTCCTCCTCCTCCTTATTTCTCCACCCATCTATCTACCTTCCACCGTGGCTTCATCAACCCCCATCTCTCCGTCTCTCTTCTCTCCGGCCCCCATTCACATCCTCTTCTTTTACCCGCTCGCTGCCACCAATTCGTTTACCCATCCACCCACTCACTCACCCATCCACCCAAGTACACACACATATACCTATACATGTACTCGCTATATCTCGTATTTCTTTGCCAACGCTACCTTATTATATTATTCCACTTGCATGCTTACGACGAGCATTGGCTCACCAGACGAATCCGCGTGAAAGTTGTTTCTTTCTTTCTCTCTCTCTCTCTCTCTCTCTCTCTCTCTCATTTTCTCGTTCTTCATTCTCGTATATTCTGAGCTAACCTCTGATATGTATATGTATATATATATATATATATATATATATATCTTATTTCGCTGTACTTTTCTCTTCTTATCTACGAGGTATAACGTAGGTACTCACTCGGCCCTTATATAACCCGCCATCCTCTACGTTTGACGTCTTTTCAGCCCGGCTCACTATGCTTCTTGTATATAACTTTGTATTTTGCTTTCTAAATGTGCTGCTGCTGCTGCTGCTGCTGCTGCTGCTGTTGTTGTTATTCTATGATGTTGTTAGCGCTACTGCTACCCTACCTCGAGATCTGCATTTTGATTGAAGTTAAAATAAGGGAGGGAAAAAGTATGGAAGAATATTGTTAGGTTGATGATGTTGACTGATAATACGATAGTTGGCTTAAAAAGTTTTTCTACAAAACTCGAGTTTTACGATTTTTAAAGAAAATTCCGGCAAATTTGTTTTTTTGCTTTGAGATACGGCATCCTCGCCTTATTTGAAAAATGTGACCAAAAGTTCTTTTATTTTTTTTACATTTGGAAATTCACGGATATTGAAGCGGAGCATAGAAATTCTCAACATCTGCTACCACAATTGGATTATAAAATATATCATTTCATAACAATAAATAAATAATGATAAATCGATAATGCCTGCCGCTTATACGTATCGCTGACCAAGCATTATTGTTGCGTTAAATTGTCGAATTTCTCGTAGGTTTAACAAACTGCAAATATAATTTCGTCAGTATAACGCGGATAATGTTGTAAGGCTGGCATATCGCACAAGGGACAATGAATTCTAGCATTCGGGATTGAAATAACAATTGCCATAATATCAGGATAAATCAATTTATAAATAAGAATGCCGTATTTAAAAATCCAACAACTCGTTAAAATATTTCTTATAATTATCGTCGCTCATCTAAACAAATCAATAATCATGGCCAATATATCAAGTACTCGAGAATCGTTTAATCTCTCAAGTCACGCACTTCTCGTGGACTTATTCCACGTCTTTCATTGGTCGCTCGTTACAAAAATCTTATGCATACCTAATGCAAAGGCACTTGACTCGATCAATACCCTCATTATCTTTATTAGTCAGCGAGAGAGGCTCCTTTCGTACGAGACACGCCTCTCCCTCGAAGAGAGAGAGAGAGAGAGAGAGAGAGAGAGAGAGAGAGAGAGAGCACGGTCTCGCCGATATGGCGTTTAAGTTTTCGCCGTAGAATCACAAGTGCTCCTTCGTAAATCTCACTTTCGAGTCACGTCACGTTCCATAATTTCTCCCGAAAGCTGCGCAATGCCTCTCTCACCTCGCGTCGAGTGTCAAAAGCATCGAGTGACCCGCGTGCGACTCCGACCGGCATTTTCTTCTTCCCTATCTTCGCACTCTCTTTACTCGCCACTCTCAGCCGGTACATAATTCAGGTTCACTCGAACGAGCGGCTCGCGTGTGCTGCTGATTACCAAAGGCGCGCACATCATCATCAAAGCTCGAGCCACGGGCTGTTACCGAGAGTCGAGCTTTAAATATTCAGAGAAACGTCTCTCAGAGAGCTCTTATCTAAGCGCGATGTTCTGTATTTCGTTGAGGAGAGAGCGTAGTGGGTCATCGAGTCCCCGATAAAAATGCTTAATTTTAGAAATGTCTGTTTCAATATTTTTATGCGCATTCGGCCATACTGGCTTGGACGAAAATATTTGTCTGCAAAGCACTATCGATGATGATTTTATTATCCTTTATGTCGACCGAGGGCAATATTAATTTATCTGGCGGCTACGCTTAATTGGTAATTCTTATTGCAAACTCGGCGGGAAGAACTTGCGATGCTGAAGATAAAATTAAACTCGGAATAGGAAGAGAGAAATTCCAATTTAACCGAGCGGAACTTTAATCAAAGAAGTTTGGCACATTAAAGTATAAATTTTAATATCGACCGGTTAATTACAATAGCTGTCAAAGTGTAACGGATAATTTGCGCTCATCGTTGTTGAGAAATTGACTGAAAATCTTAAGGGATGAATTTTTAGTAATTTCGAATAATTTGAGGCAATCGAGCGCCGACCTTAGCCGATAAAAGTAAATTGCGGAGTAAAAGTAATAAAGAGTGCTGTACCGTATTGGCCGAATATGCGAAACGCACCATTACCATGTCATAATTTGCAATTATTTTTTTCTTTTTTTTTTTTTTTTTGGAAACTCCATCGCGTATCTTTCACGATAAAGAAAAACGAATGATTCGACGGCTTTTGCTGTCGCGCACTATGCAACGCCATGAGTCAGCAAAGTGCCTTTGGCACATTATAAACTCGAGGAAACCGGGGATCATCTCGCGTAGGGCAGAAGATCGCCTTCGGGAACCATTTTCTCCCTCTCTGGAACGTCGTCGCACGGTGGCTGGTTTAATCTACGCGATAAGACCAAGTAGTTGAGCGGCGACATTTACGCCTAAGTATAAGCATATACATGGTTGCCACGGCGAGGAATTATACAGATCGACGCGGACAAGGGACTACCAGTGAATTGCACAATTATTATGCGGATAAGTGGTGGATGGTGGGGTGGGATTGGGGTGGGGAGGGGGGTGGTGGTGGTGGTGGTGGAAGCCATCTGGACATTAATCGATACATTAATTAAGCATTGGCTTGGCCATTATTTTAAAATAGCTGCATTGTTTGTAAATAAAGAGAGGTATAGATCTCCGCACAATTATCCTAACGCGTATCGAAATATTTTCCTATCATTCTCAATATACCTCCTTGTTCCTTAATCATAACCTTACTATACGAGCCTTAAAAGTTCTTATAATATTATTTCCCATAACATTGTGATATATTGCTACTAAATGCGCGTGCGCACCCACGTACGCACACACGCACGCGCGCACAGAGAGAGAGAGAGAGAGAGAGAGAGAGAGAGAGAGATAGGAATATTACAGAAAGTAGACTATGGCTGAAAAGGGAAATGGTATTATGGTATTATGAACAAAAGCAATCGTTGTTTAAAAAAAAAAAAAAAAAGGAAAAAAAAAAGAAAAAAGGTTCTCCTAATGGATTCTTTTATCAGTCGCAGCGCACTAATGCACACTCTTGTGAGCGGCAGCACCATTTTCTTTGCCGATGTGAATGCGTGTTACTCCCGTCATGGCCGCTTCACACTCGAGAAACGATACCCGATCTCGTTTGTGCGTGCGCGCGCGCCCCCGAACAAAGGTGGGATGGGCGCGGCGTGGGCTCTCGAGCCTCTTCCCGCATGTGTGGACGAGGCCGGCGTCGAACGGCGAAGGGATGAGAGGCGGTAAAAATATAGAGGAGCCAGAGTGCCCAAGAGTCGAAAATGGCTAAAAGGGCTAAACGTTACGAAGGAAAGATACCAAAGTCCAAAGACGACGGCTAGGACGATGGCGACGAGGACGAGGACGACGACGACGACGACGAGGACGACGACGGCGAGGAGAGAGGACGATGACCGGCTATGGCGGCTCGAAATCGACTCTTAATTAGCCCATGCACTCTCTAGCTCGCTTTCTCTTTGCGGCTACGAGGCTGTAGGTAGGCAGATGTCGGGGGAACCGCCCGCCCGACGAATATTATACGTACGCATACAATTGGGACACGAACACATGCTCCCTGCTCCAAGCTCTCAAAAGTGTACCTTTGGATGTACCGTCGAGATTCGAGGATAAAATGCACTGGAAGATTATCTGGATTCTTTCCTTTCTTTTTTTCGAATAATTAACGCTTCAACAATTACCGAGCTCGCTCCTCGTGGGTGGAGTGGGGAAAATTATGGGCTACATTATTACGTGCTCAAATAAAACGGCATTGTTGGTTATTTAGATAGAAAGGCCATGGACACGGGCTTGAAGGCGAGAAGGACGCCTATATTGGAAGTAATATATGTGGGATAGAACATTGGAGAATTAACATCCCAATTGCCAAAGATCATCCTTTCTATACGTACTCATTTTCTAATTTCTGAAATTTGTAGCGTTGCAAAAACAACAACAAAAAAAAGGAAACAAAACAAAAAATAAAAAAAAAGCAAGTTGCCCTGCTTCTAACGGCTTTTGATATTTTCTCGTTTATTTTTTTCAGTCCGTATTTGTAACGCGTTAAGTAACATTTTATACATATTTATGGAACTTTATAGCCTTATAATTATTAGAAAATTCGAAAGAATTACAAGACATATGGACGTAATGCATCTGTTTTTTTTTTTTTTTTTTTTTTTTTAAAAAAAATTTTAATTAAAAAGTCTTTATTTCGGCCAAAACTAGGAAAGGGGGGGGGGAGGAGACGAAAAAAGACGGAAAAAACCCAGCAAAATGAAGAAGAGTATGAAGAAGACGAAGCAGAAAAGACAAAAGAAAAATTTATTTGTAATAGCATAAAAGATATAAAAGATGAAATATCATGCAAAGAGTAAAATAAAATAAGAAATCGATTTCCCGCCTTCGTACGGTATCTTTAGGTGCTCTGGCTTGCCCAAACCTCAAAGAAAGAAGAGAAAAGACGCGCATCTCGAGAGCACCATTTTGTACAGTCTCTCTCCCCTTTATCTTCCAAGCTGAGTACATACGTATAATTTATTTCTCTATGCTCTCATGAGAACATGGAGCGCATAAGGCCACATCGATATTAAACGTGCCAATGGCAATTTCACCACTTCGTGTAATAACGTTTTAAAAACAACAAAGTTCTTTTTACGATGTAAACTTTTGCGCCGTACCTCCCCAACGCCCACCACTACCGTCCTTCTCATGAATATTTCTTCTTCCTCTCTGAGCATTAAAGAAAAGTTTGGGATTTACTATTTATTTATATTTCGTATTTCGCGGATAAATGATGATAAGGCCATTGTAAATTGTCACTCGCTAAATCCAGTGATATTTCTTAGCCTTTGTCAGCATAAATTTCACGCTTTACGTGAAATTCATTATTTCGATAAAATTCAACAATCCGGAATTTGTTATTTAT